TTGATCTAAGAGCACATTGTCCATGGAATCAATGGGCACTGTCGCGCGGTGCACACAGAGTCTAAGAGTGGCGGGTTCTCCAAGTTTGCTAGGAGTCACCCTTCATGAGAGCCTTTGACCTTCCAGAGCTGCGGTGACAACCACTTGCAGCAGGTAGTGATCGAGGAGATCAAGAAAACCATGGATTTGAAGCCGCCGGAGGGTAGCTCTTGCCTCAGGGGTCAAGCCGGGACCCAACTTCATCGTTCCACTGGGTCTTAGGAGCCGGGAAATTCAGATTTGACATGCATGGCGCGGGAAAAGCTGGAAACTACCGTTTGATACCTTTTGTATGTGTATGTGTTTGTAATTTGTCTAATTAATATTGATGGGGAAGAAGATGGACCGCGAACCTTGTGTATGAAACATGTTTCAATTGATTCTTGTTCAAACAGGGCAGTGCGCCACTGATGTCCCTCATATCATATGTATTTTTCTTTTGGCGTCGACCGATGGGAGGTGTGGTAGCAGAAGTGGTAACAACCAGGTAGTAGCAGATATTCGCACGACTAGAAGTAATTAGAAGATATTGGAAGGACTTCTTACAGCCCGAGGCAGCATGTTTCATCCCCATCCCAGCTTCGGCTCCACCGAAGCTCCCCCAGCTTCGGCTCCACGGAGGTCAAGATGGGATCACCTTGCGCCAGCATGGGGAACTGATCATCGAGGCGACCCACTTGCAGCATTCTCGTCGCAAATCATTCCCTTGCAGCGAACTCCATAGAATATTGACCTACATGCACCCCTCAAACCACCCCAATATACGGTGGATAGATGTGGCTGTGAGTCAAAAATTAGACGGCCTCTCTCGTGTTGAAATTGAAGAACATGTTCGAACACTGAGTCTCCCACGATACCTACATGATACGCTACCTGGACCTTTGCCAAGTGAGATGAACTGAAGGGTGAGACCACTGCGACCCTGAAGATGGTCACCACTCCTCCACCGATCCGTCCAGGCAGTGCGAGGAGTGTTTGAAGGTGCAGCGGGAGTGTTTGAGGGGATGTTTGGGACTCACCAAGGGATCTCATAGTACAAGAATGGGATCTCATAAGGGATCTCACAGACTATCTCATTCGACTCAAACGCACAGATGCACGCATGTCTCAGGTGAGGACAGGACGATGACTACCCCCCACAAGGTCTCAGGAGGTCGCATGTCGAAAGCGCATGTGAAAGCGCATGTGACTTTGGACGTCAGCATGCTCATTGCTGGCATTTTGTTGCAACAAAAGGCAGCCCAGATAAAATGACGACCCTGAAGAGTGTCAATAGCTAACTCCGGACGTTCGTGTGAGGCGATGAATCACAAGAGTGTCATTGCTAAACGACGCAAAGGATCGGCCGTTCGTATGACCTTTCCAACCTCGGCCGGGTATAGCGAGAGAGAGAGAGAGAGCGCACGGCCTCCGGTGGCCCGGGTGGCAACAGCTGCCCAGAAACCGGTTGCCCAGACTATCTCGCCTGTTGGATCCTGTTAGGAAGTTCTGCAGAGTGGTTCAAGAGTCACATCCGTGTACTTGGTTTGGAAGGTTCTGAATATTCTGAATCAATCATAATTCAATCTACGCAGAATCAACTCGAGTGGCACCGAGAATCGCAAACCATGTCGATGATGTGAGGAGAGCTAACTAAGATCGACATGGAAGCGTTGCAACAGGCCTGGACCCTCAGGTCCTCCGGATCTAAGATGTCCCTAACATCCCGTCGTGAGTGAGAGTTAAGTAACTTGTTCAACCACTGGGCAGTTTCCAAAAACTGGTGGGTGCGGGCTTTATCCCAAAGCCATGAGTTGCTTGTGGATAAGTGTCCAATTATTGGTTTGCAAATGTTTGTGTTGTGCAAGCCAATTCAAAAGTTGAAAGAAGTGGGTGGGCACGTTGGCTGGTGGTAGATGACGTTTAACACTGTGGTCCTTCTTTGTCTTTGTATCCCTTACTACTGCCTGTCTGTCAGCAAGCAACTCGTTTTGGAGTGATGTCAGTTAGGTCAGTTAGTAGGAGGGTGTTCTGGTTGAGCAACGCGGTTGACGCTATCCAAAGCTTTAGTGAGCCCTGTCCACGCCACGAGAACCTATGCACCGCCATGTTTAGAATTGTTTACACGACACGCAGCTTGGCAGCTGCGCAACCCGTGTTATTTCATGTTATTTCTGGTGGTGCGAGAGGACACGCCTGCCAAAGCTTAGCATACTGTCAGACCAATTCATTCAACACATACACATTGTCCGACTACATGGCAATCATGCTTGTTCCCGGGGAGTGTAATGTCCACATACAGTAAACAAACAGCAAGAAGTAACACCAAGTGTGTTTCACAAAAATGACTGTACTCTACCAAGAAGAAAGCCTATTTTTTTGGTTGCCCACATAAATTATTGGATGTTGTATCCTTTGTCATAGTTTCCATTGTTGCATGATTTGTTTGCGGTTTTTGCATATTACATTCATGTGTATGTGGACGAGGTTTGACCTCCGTTTTAGCTGATCTCTATTTCATGCACGTGCATTCCCTTTTGGATCGCCCCGAACTTGCATGGACTTGGATGGGTTCCCGCGGTTCCTGCAGCCCACCTCTTGTGGTTGTCCCGGATGTTTCCTGGTGTTTTCATCGGCGGCAGTTTCCATATGTGGACCCCAAAGCAGATAGAAAAGCAGATCCCCACCAAAAAAATGTATTGGAAACCTTTTTTCTTTTTTGGGGGAAGTATAAATATACTGACTAATTGTTGATCCCTATATATGGATTTGGGTTTTGGGTCCCCAAAACGTCCACATCCGTTGGCTGTCTCTTCCAACAACGTTTGCCGCACGAACGGCACGAACGCAGCTCCCCTAGGCTCTCAACCACCCGCTGGCAGCAAGCCTGAAGACCGGGGGATGCGCATCGCTTCAGGGCGTTTTTGCGGGGTATGTGGCATCATGAGGGGGCTTTCATGTCGGTCGAGTGATGTTGGGTATTGGGGTGACCCAGCAACTGTGATTGTTTTCTGGTTTTTCTAGTTTGTGTTTTTGTCCAGTCCTCTTTTCCTCAGGTTGCTTTGGGGTTATTATTGTCTAGTTTTGTTTTGTCCGTATCACACCTTTGACTTGCAACGTTTGAAGATCCTAGAAGCGATCTTTGCTGGATAGCCATGGCGCTCTTTTGACTTGCACCATACTTCTTGCCTGTCACAGAACGGATCCTGCGCAGGAATCCTGCGTATCCACACCTAGTGCCTGCAGTGAACTACGGCATCTCCACTGGTCACTTCATGGGTGGCGGTCTCAGTGCAGTGAGCTCCGCTTAACCGTGAAACTTGACCTGGAGAGCGTCCTTGGGACGGGGCCTGAGTACGAACTGGGAACTGGGGGGCGGAGGGCAGGCGTTGTTCAGAGCTTAAAGAAAACAATTCCTTTCAGCTAGCTAGAGAGTCCAATGGGCTTTTGTTTGTGCTTTATGTCCAACATCTTAATTAGGGTCTAGAAGGAAGCATCCCCTTCCCCACTTCTTCGAACCACCCCTTACCTCCCTGAACACGCACATGGTGATGCCCCGCTCTCGTCACAGGCTGGCGTCCGATGCACTTCGTCAGTGCCTCGCCCTTCGCCTCCAACGCCGTGGAGGCTGCCAACCTGCTTTGTAAGGCGAGGTGTCGGTTTGAGGTGGTGGATCGGGCAGTGGGGTGGGGCAGGGGGAGTGCCAATGACTTCAGTGAGGTCACGAGATGTCCACAACTTCTATCGCTATTAGGTGGCTATTGCTATTGGATCGGAGGCCATCGCTTCTAGGGAGGAGCTATTAGTTATTAGGTTGGAGGCCATTCCTATTAGGTTGGCGGATGTTGGAGGCCATCTCTTTCAATACAAGGACAGCGGACTGAAATTCGTCCAGCGCGAGAGTATGAGAGTGTGGCTTTTATGCTTTTGTTGTCCATTAGTTGCCATAAACGGGTGTCAGCAGTTTCTCTCACTGAAACAGCTATGCGGCTCGAGGGCCTCGAGGGTGCCCACCTAAAAGGGTTTTGTGTTAGCTCGACTCAACAATCAATTGGAAGTTGCAGTTTATCCACCTTCCAAACTAAAACTGGATGGCCTTTTGTTGTGAAGGCAAGTGGTTTGCAAGCACTGCTGGGCTGCTAGAAGATATTTACACTACTATAATAGAGGAACTTGACGATAGAGAGAGAGAGGGAAAGAGGTGCTGGATGGGTGATGCTTTTGTTTACATGTCGGCCGTGTCGGCATGGTAGCTGGCACAGATAGTAAATACAACTTAATATTTAAGAAATACCATGTATTTCCCTTGCATTGGGCATGTTTCATTTTTGCGTATGGCTTGTTGGTCAGCATGGTTTGTAGCCGCAGCCGATGAAGCATTCTTTTTGGTTCGCACTGCGCGATGTGGATCAGAGCGGACCCTTTGCAGACGTATCTTGCTGCCTGGCTGCACCGTTTAAGAGAGCTGAGGTGTGCACCAGCATGTTGGAACATAGCGGACCCTTGAAATTCCTAATGATGGTTAGAGAAGTTAGTACCGGTGCGACCCATTCGTTCCAATGAAGTTCCTGGTTTTGAAAAGGCCTGGCTTCATTGATTCTTGCAAGCATCGCTAATGACAAATCTCAGTTGACGTTGTTTCTCCAGCTGCAACAGGGTGGAAATCTGAGTCATATCCGTTAGGAATCTCTCGACTGACATGGGAGAGATCCATTTTGATGAGACCATCTAGCTTTTCCTTTTCAACCACCCTTGTCAACATTTATTCGGCTTTTGCTGTTTGTTTCTTGGCACCTGACTGACAGATCACATGCAACCCAAAACTCGACCCCTGCACAAACCAGAGGTGACTCTCCGAAATTGATAGCACAAAAGCATAGAAAAGCAATACAGCGGTTGTCAGGATGGACTTGGGCACACGCAGTTGTCCAGGTGGGTCATTGGTGGCCAATGGGCAAGGCTTTTTTTGGAGCTGAGCGGCGATGCTTCTGGATGGCTGTGTAGGTGGTGCTCGAGGTGGAGACCTTGTCCTGAGCGGTTTTCCTGCGTGGCCCGGCGTTGAGAGCTGGACAGGACCGGGAGACAGAGGAAGGTTTGGCCAGGCCAAGGGTAAAGCAATTGGTTTAAGTTCTTTGATGATCTATATATATACTGTATATTTCTATGGTTTACTATATGTATATACTGTATATTTGTGTATATATATATATTGATTGTTTTTAAGAAGCCTCTGGTGAAGGGTTACAAGGGGCTCCGAAATAGTCACCGGCAATTGTTTGAACATTTGTTTTCAATTGTTTTGCAATTGTTCAATTGTTTGGGTAATTGTTTTGCAACTGTTGGAATATTTAAAACAATTGTTTCAACAAATGTTCAATATTATTCAATATATTCAACAATTGTTTCAACAGTTGTTCAATATTTCAAACAATTGTTTTGCAATTGTTTTGAATTTGTTGAATATTTGCAACAATTGTTTTGCAATTGTTTTGGAATTGTTGAATATTAGCAACAACTGCTGCGCAATTGTTGTTGAAATTGTTGCTTATGTTCAACATGTTTGTTCGCAAGCAAACCTTTTGAACATACTGAACATGCAAGTTAGTAATGGTCGGTTTAACATGCATCACATCGATGGCTGGGGCTGCTATATAACAGCAACAAAAAACATGCATCACATCGATAGCTGCCTCCATCCTTAGCCTTTTCACATGTTGTGATAACACCTGGTTCACTTTCCTCCATCAATCCTTTGGTTCAAGATGGCCCCCACAATTGGCGAAAGAGTTTCGCTTCCATGTTGAATGGGTGGGGGCGATGCTGAGCTTACATGATTTGGCAGGGATTGCGCTTGGTGGCCAGCAGCCTGCTAGGGCCGGTCTTAGACCTGGTGCTCTGGTGGACGTGGCCGCCTTGGGCGTGGTGTTGGAGTTGGTGGCCGCCTTGGGCGTGGTGTTTGCCTGGGGCGTGGCGGCCGTGGCTTGGCCAATGCTTTCAGGGCAAGAGCTAGGCGGATGAATGCAAGGAGAAGCCGGGTCAGTTTCTTGAGGAAAAAAAGAAAAGAGCACAGGGCAAACACATTCAGGCTGCAGGCTCAAGCGTCCAATGCGTCAGGGCGCCATAGAACCCTAGATCATTTGCTTCCTTTGCAGCCTGCTGATGAAGCCAGGCCCAAACCAAAAGGTCGAGGCGCTTGGAAGCAGTGGACGCCTGAGGCTATTTTGAGGGCCGCCTTTGGCGAGGCTACTGCAACAGTAAGGCAAGCAGCAAGGGAAGTTGATGGGGCAAGTGCTGCCCATGTGATCAAAGCCCGCATGTTCATTGGCAAGTGCCTCCTTGATTGTCAAGCCAAGCATATCCAATCAGAGATAAACCGGCTGCGTGAAAGAGGTTTGCTGCTGTATCACATAGTGAACTTGATGTTCGACGAGACAGAGCTGGATGTTTCTTTGAAGCAAGTTGGGTCTGCAAGCTGGTCAGTCTTGGCAAGCCACAGCCAACTTAGCATCTGCGCTGCAGGCCAGAATGTGGAGATTGACGTAGCAAGGCCGCCAAGGGCTCTACCTCGTAAAACGGCTGAGTGCATGTGGGGCGCGCTGTGCCTGGACCAAGGCGGCCTTGGGCCTGGTTTCATTGGGTCTCCAGCAAAGTTCTCTGCTGTGCTGGTGTCGTGTGACCAGCATGCAGCCAACATACGGCTGCTCAAACACTTGCATGCAGTGATGCCGCAGAACTCCTTCATATTTCCCAGCCTGTGCGCCCAGCATCGAAATGGAAATGTAATTGAAAGGGCAACCAAACATCTAGGCATATTGCCAGGTTCATTTTGCGTGTCCAAGAGCACCCGCCGAGGGAAGTTTCTGCAAGACCTCACAAAAGCAGTTGAAAAAGTCTTGTCTGAAAACCTGGTGATCATGGACGCAGAGCCTCCTGGTTTGCAAGCTGAATGGGCAGCCGCCCGCAGGCAGGCAAAAGAGTTTTTGAATACAATGCTGCAGTGCGAAGACGAGAAGGCCGTTGCTAAGCGGTCTCGGACCAGGTTCGTTGACGACTTTGTTGCTTTCTTCCCTGGCCCCTGGAGAGGACAGCTTGGGCAGAGCAGGGCTGGGGGGGACTGTTGGTGACAAGGGGTTTGTAATTTTTTCTTTAAACAGAATAATTGCAGCCAAGGTCCAGGTAAAGGCGGCTAAGGCACATGTAGTTAGTTCTAGTTGGCCTTACCTTAACTTTACCGTAACTCACTTTCCTGGGCTGCGCAACTTGTTCGCTAAAGACCAGCAAGCCGTTTGCTTGGAAGCAACTGTTTTGCGCCGGCCTCTTTTGGCTCAAAGTGTTTCAGAGCTCAACGTTTCCCACGATCGACTGAGCGCAACCTTCAGCAATGGTCCTGTCCAAGGAGTTGGGTCAGAACAGGACACTGGCAAGTTTGAATGCGCATGGGCTTGGAACAGCGTACTTGCCTTTGGATGCACGGGCTAAGGTGCTCCACGGCCTTAGGCCTGGTTCCAGCATGACAGACGCCATTGTGGCTGGTGTGCTGTCAGAGTTGGACCAGTTCCTGGTTGTGGACGACTACGGTTCTGTGGAATGCGTGAAGTATGCCCGGCAAGAATACAACAAGAGGCATCCTATGACCTTGGTCTGCGAGACAGTTACCAATGGCAGGCTTTGGCTTGGGGGGGAGAAGGCTGTCCACGACTCAGTGCTCCTCTCTGAGAACGAGGTGGGGTATGTTTGGCCTGCCTGCAAGTCTGCAATGCCTCAGAGTCCAAATGTATATGTCTTGGACACTGTGGATGGCACTGGCGCTGCGCATGGGGATGTTCCTTGGGACCGAGTCATGAACATCGTCGATGAGATCATCAAGCTGCTGTTGGATGGAAAGTCTGTCCTCATAGCGTGCCACAACGGCGCACACCGTTCGGCAACCTTGACGTGCCTGGTGCTGATGCGCCTTTTAGGCTGGTCAGCCGCAGAAGCTGCTGCGTTCCTCACTACAATGAGCAACATTGTGGACCTCAACAGCCGCGCTCCGCCTTCAAGAGGGCGAGTGGCAACAGTTCGCCCTATCGATTTTTTGGAATCTGTGGAGGGAAAAGTTCATGTGAGTCACCCAGCTGCTTCCAAGGTGGCCCTAGGCTTTGTCCCACTGAGGCGCAAGGCCATTGAGGCAGGCTTTGTAGCTGCATTTCCTGTGGGCAAGGCTTCCAAGCCTCCTCTTCTTTACAGAAGCGACCGACAGTCATCCTCTTCTGAAGCAGAAAGCATGCTGCTTCCTCAGCAGTTTCAATTGACAGAGGCTGAGGCCAGCGACACTGGCGCTTCCTTCTACCATGTGCCCCACCCCCCTGAAGGCTTTGACAAAGGCACCTGGCATTTTCTTGAGACCCCTGTGTCCACACCTGGTGGCAGCAGCAACCATGGCGAGACCTCTGACCTCCGAAGACGCAAGCTCCGCCTGCTGGTCCAAGATTTAACTGCTTTGCAACGCAAATTGGAAGGCCACGTTGATGCAGCAGGCGGCTTTGAGCCAGGTGTCACACTGAAAGACGCCTCTGGCGAAGTTGGTGCAGTTGTTGTTGGGTCTGGCCTGACTCTGCTAGCTGCGCCTTCGGCGGCGTCTGGCAGTGTGCCTGAGCCACTGCATCCACCTGGGTATGTGTCTGGCAGTGTGCCTGAGCCAATGCATCCACCTGGGTATGCAGATGGAAGCAAAAAGCGCCCAGCAGAGCCCAGCAAGGACGAGCAGCCTCACTTGAAAACTGCAAAGGATGAGACAAAGGAGGAGGCAAACAAGGACAAGGAGGAGGAGGAGGAGAAGAAGGCAGCTCCCGCTGCGGCTGCTCCTGTGCCGGCGTCAAGTCCTCGAGGTACTGGTGGAGAACTTGTGAAGGAAGAGCCCCAAGAATCCCAAGAAGCGCCTGAAGGTCCGGCCGGTGCTGCCAACCAAGACAATCCGATGGAGGTCGACTTTGGCGGCGACGATGATGATGATGAGGTAGGAGGGGCTCAGCCTCTGATGCCTGAGAAGGCCAAGGCAGAGGAAGAGTTGGAAGGCTTGCCAGACCAGGCTGTGCAGAGCTTGTTGGATTTGCTGGAGGCCCAGAAGGTGTCCCACCAGTCTTTGCTTTCCAAGCTGGAACGTTTGGAAGCAGCCAGGATGACAGAGGAGCAGCGCACGATGTTGCTGGACGCCTTGTTGAACAGGGACCCGGCCTTGGTGGATCACATCCAGAAGCTGCCTGTCCCACTGCTACTGGAGGTGGCCGACAGCCAGGGGATGACCTTGTTGCACCATGCGGTCAGGCTTGGTCAGGTTGAGGTTGTAGAGCTCCTGGTGACCCGATGCCCTGAAGCTGTTGAGAGGACAACAAAGATTGATGCGCGCCCTGCTAGGTGGACAGCTTTGATGGTGCTCATGGACACTCCAGTTCATCAAATTGGGGAAGGGAGCTTTGAACGCATCATGCGGTGTTTGCTGCATTCGATGAGTGTTGGGGCGATTGCGCTGCAAGCCTACACTGGCACGACAGCCTGTCACTTGGCAGCTGCGCAAGCCAACCTGTGGGCGGTCAAAAAGATTTGCTGGACGATGTACACGAAGGCTGGCGAAACGGAATCGGCGTTCCGCCAGGTCAGTGCTATGTTGAACAGCAGGTCTGGCAAGCGAGGCGCTGGAGCTGTGGACCTGGCTTTGGGCACCAACTTGCCAGTGGCCAACTACCTGAAGATGTGGGGGGGTGAGGAGCAATGCCCGAACCCAAAGCGCCGGTGGTATTATTACTGAGGTTCTACTTTGGGGACCAAGAAAAAGACCTGTAGTTGCTGCAGTATGGCGCTTTGGAGCTTTGTCGGCTTTGTCATGGCTTTGAGCCTGGTCCCTGCCAGGACTGGGCTAGGCTTTGAACTTGGACCTTGGCCGCTTTTTTGGAGCCACTTTTTCAGCAGCTGCCGGTCTTTGACCAGGTGTGTGCGCAGGCTTTGCTTGGCTTCTGCCTCTGCTTGTCGTGGTGGATGCCGCTGACTGGCTGACCAGCGCCCGCTTGT